AAATATCACCACTTTTTACTACTGGAAATATAAAGTCTCTTTTAGATTTCAGACGCGAGAATGCATTATTCCTTTTGCAAACTCCTATTAAGAGTGTAGAATCAGCCAGGAATAGATCAGCAACAGGAAGACCTAGTAAATTCAGCATTAAAAAAACACTGCGTGGAGATGGTAGACATTTTATCATAAAGTCTGTTGATAACAAAAGACTTTGTTGTAAAGAGTACCATAGCCAGACTGTTTATAGATGCAAAGTATGTAATGTAGCTTTACATCATGATTGTAATCAAGCTTTTCATATTTGAATCTTTCAATTGAAATAATCTGTATTTGTAAAAGAAATACAATGTGTATTTTAATATTAAATTAATTACAAGTAAACTAATTTGTAGATTTATAAAACGTTATACAGCTAAAAAGTAATTCTGCCCTCCACTCAAAAGAAACATCACACGAGTACAGTCCTACTCACTAAACATCCGTAGTCTTATTCTGCTGATGTTGCGCTAACGCAACACTTGCGTTTTCCACACGTAAGAGCATTTTTTTTTTTTTTTTTTTTAAATTTCAATGTAAGTTTATGTCATAAATGCTTAATTTAATATTTGTTATTATTTTCATGAGAAAAAAAATTCCTTGTAGTTTTGGCGGTTAATGGGTTAAAGCGAGTTATTGCCTTTCATTAATACTTACTGTGGTCACAGGATAAAACACAAAAATGTAAAAGTTCAAGTAAAACTTATTCTTTGCATCTACTTATATATAAAACAACTTATCACTTCTGGTGCTTTAATGGCTTATTATTATTATTAATCATTTTGCGGTTTTGCAGCTGAGGATAGTGGTTCGGTAAAACCATCGAAACTAGTCCTGTGAAAATTTTGTAAATATAACGCTGATTTTTATTGTTTGACTTTTGAATTAGCATATGAACTGGTTTACAACCCCTGGAACTCTATGCAAAGTTATGACATTAACTGCATTAAGCAGAGCCTGACTAACTTTCAACACTTGCCATCTGTGCCTACATCAGGCCTTTCAAGTTTGTTCCAATCAGCAGGTCTCTCTATAGACAAGCAGCAGAGGGACAATAGTCAGTCTTTTGTTATGAATCATGCTGATTATGATCTCGCTTCTCATTTTAACCTATGCCTTTTGACATAAAATCTCCCTATTATTTGCTAAATCTCTAGACTGACCAAGTATGTGACAAAATGAGACATCTATTAGTAAAACGTAAATGTCACTTATCTTCTTTCAAATATGTCCAACTATTATAAGTGTAAAATATTTTATGCTACTTGATAAACTGAATGAAGCTTATTTTATTCTCAAACTTAATTATAATTATGTTAGTTAATTCTTGTTTAGTAATAATGCATAGTACTTAGGGATCTATTTTATTTTTAGGATGGTATTACAAAAGTGAAATTCAGGCATAGAATAATATTTTTAATTGAATATATTCAGTTCCCATTTGCTTATAGGTCCTTAATTTTTTTCATTAATAATCCTTAAAAGTACTAATTTCCGTGTGCGGAAATGTGTACGAACCCTGGGAAGGAAGCAATAATGCCGATTCAAAACTCTATCCAATTGTTGTTTCTTTTTTTAATCCAGAGTCTTCAGAAATTGAGATGGTTTACTTTTTGTCCCCACTTTAGAAGGACATTCGACAGGCTTTAATATAGCACAGCTAATTATTAAAACTTTAAAAGAAAATGCAGACCCTCTGGATAATTGCTTAGCACTTAGTTCCGATAATGCACCAGTAATGGTAGGTTTGAAGACTGGTATAGCAGGCATCTTAAGAAAGGAAAATTCAGATTTGCAGATTATGGAGGTGCACCTGTCAGTTCTTAAATTTAGCAACTGAAAAAGAGGAAGCTTCTTTACCAATAAATGTGGATGAACACATTGTTGATATTTATTATTATCTTGAAAGAAGTTCTAAAAGGAAGGAAAAATTTAAACAGTTCCAACAGCTGCATAATACTGAAATGAGAAAATTTTTTAAACGTGTTGTACACGCTGGATGTCTGTAAAGAAATGCTTCTTTAGAATCCTCGATCAATGGAACCCACTTCTTGCATTTTTTAAAGAAGAAGTAAATGCTTTGGGAGTTAAGATAAAAGGCTCTATTGAAAGTTATAAAAGTAAATGGAGGTGTAATTACTACTTCCATTGTTAAAAATAGGTTTGAGAAAAGTAAAGTAATATCTGTACCATTCAGCAATTCAATTGGCAGTTCTCAAAATAATACTGCAAAATATAAGCATAAAGCTACTACAAATTTTTCTCAAAATAAAAAAATTGCTAAACCTACGAAATGTTTTCCAATCACTGTAAATTTATCTTGTGAAGAACGAATATTTTGTTTTTTTCTTCGGACCTTAACAAAGCTTTTTGCTTTTTTTTACAATTCATTTTGTCATCATTCGATGTTCTTAACACAGTTCTACAAAGCAGAATTCCATTAATTCATGTTTTGCAATCAATGATTTATGATCTGTTTAAAGAGATTTTATCAAAGTTTGTAAAACCAGACTGTGTTTGGTCTTGTAATTCTATATGATGTGAGTTATGGTGAAATAGAAAATCTGAAGAAAGACGAAGATTTGGTAATAAGAGTTGCAACTACAAAAGTACTGGAAGAACTTTCAGAAGAAGACAAAAATAAGTTTTATCTTTATGTTAGAAGTTACTTCTGTCAAGTATGCGATTACATACTACATAAATTTCCAGTCAAAGATGAAGTGACTTTGCATGCTAAAATTGCTGATGTTTCTGCTCTAGCAAATGCATCTTTTTCTGATATAAGATGCTTTTTGAACAGATTTCCTGTGTTACTTCATTTAGTCATGAAAGATGATGATATTGATGTTGCCACTGATAATATATTGCAGTCGCAATTTTTCAGTTTACAATTAGAAAACTTGGATGAAGTCATAAAATCAGCTGGGATTGACACCGAGTGGAGTTAATTGGAAAACTAAAGGTGCTGATGGAATTTTAAAATATAGTGAACTACTAGAACTATGTTGGCTATTTTGACGGTCCCCCATAGTAATGCAGAGTGTGAGAGGATTTTCAGTATTGTTGCAAAAACGAGGATTAAATTTAGATTTAATATTAATGATGGCAGATTATAAAAACTTCTATTAGTGAAAGCAGACCTACGTGGCAATTGCTATGAACAAAATTGTGAAGTTTCTTTCTTAACGAAAGCAAAATCTACAACTGTTCATAACATTTGTATAAAAATTGATTAAAGTGCCTTTTTTCTTTTCTTTTCTTTTTCTTTTTTCTTTTTTTTTTTCTTTTTTTTTTTTTTGTTTTCTTCAACAATGCAAGTAATAAAAATATTTTTTATGTGTAAGGTATTTTTGTGTTGCTTGCATTTAAGAATTAGTAACTATTTGAAGTTAATTCATTATTAACCCTCTGACTGCTCAATTGGTAAACCAAAATCGCTTCCAAAAAAAAAAAAAAAAATTAATGCACTTCTTTCTAAAAAATATTTTTTATATAGACTTTTATCATGAGAAACTAAGTTGCCAGAAAAACCAAAATCAGATGTTACAACAACAACAACAAAATTCAGTCAAATTACAGTTAATTTCTATTTATTGCATAATGTAAAAAAGTAAAACTAATAAAATTTAAGAAAATATAAAGCGCTGAGGGAAAAATACCTTAGAAATGCAGTTTAGTATGCAGTTCAAAACAGGGTTCAAGGCAAATTCTAACTTCAGTCTTTGCACCACATTCAATAAATCTAATTATTAATATAATCAATAAATTTAATTAATATTTCAATAATTTAATTAAATAATCGAAGATAATCGTTGAACGTTTTCTAGCCATTTCTGTTAAAAAAAGTGAAGTTTGAGCGCTAATACCACATGCCTTCAGATGCGTTAATTTAGTGGACTACTAACAATATTTGTTGACCAAAAAACACAAACGAAATACCTAACACTGTATATAATTTATTTCAATTGTTAAACAGGGAAAAAACGGATGTGCTCCTCAATAAAGGAAGAAAAACATATGCTCGCGGGATAAGCAAATTTTGCTACATTTGAGTTGCCCTTGGAAATCGTGGGATGATCAGCCAGAGGGTTAAAAACTGTACTTTTATCATTTAAAAAGTCTTTTTAACATTGTGAAAAATCCCCTGATTTCTTTAAAAAATCTCTTGATTTTTGAGTGTCATAGGTTGGCAATATGCAAATAGGAGAATGAGGACATGATAAGCAAATCTTAGAAATCATATGGCACTCTTTGTATATGGTATATATGACCATTAAACCGAACAATGTAAGCAGTTTTTTTTTATTCCTTTCAAATTCCTTGACCGAGTTGTCACTCTAGGCTGATACTATGATGCAAATCTTTCCTGTTCAGGGAAATAGGAAGTAGTGAATCTTATGAGTTTGGGTTATACAATTGATAGCTAGCTCATTTATGGAATTAATTTTTTTTTTTTTTTTTTTAATAATATAAATGCTATATAAGTTTTGGCCTCCAAATGAGGATTTTTTTTTAATCAAGGCATATGGCATTCTTCATAAATGTTATTGAAGCTTTCTTTGCATGCATATCTTAAGTAAAAGTTATATTTATCAGTATTTTAAAAAAATAAATAAATAAATAAAAAAGGAAATTTAACTTTTTATACTGCTCCTAAACTCTATATTAAGGAAAAATAAATACTCATAGAAATTATTACAAAAGGTTTAACTTCCATACGGGAAGAGTTGATCAATTAATATATTAAAGTTAGAATTTGTTTTATACAGTTTTTAATCTCAATAACTATGTGAAATAAAAATGCATATAGCTTAATTAGGTCAAAAATTACAGGCACATTTGTTTTATTCCTCTGAACAAATTTAAAATGCAATTATATATTACTATATAATAGCAAAATCATGTTAAAAAAATGTGCATGTATGAAACTTCATATCAATTGTGCACATTTATTTCTTTTATAGAACTTAAACAGCAATAGTATAATTATGTGGAATGATAAAGAGAAGTCTGAAGGGAATCAGCAACCTACTTGGAATGTGGAAATTTTGGTCCAGGTTATTCGTGATATGGTAAGTTCAAATAGATAAGTTACAGTCACTGAAATTTTTTAGATAAGTTAAATGGTACAAGTTTAATGTAAGCAATTTTTCTAAAGACTTCAGACCCTCTAGTTTGTAGAGTCTATGAGAAGTATGCTTTTATAGCTTCATGAGTCTCATCTTTAGAATGAAAACTGCTGTGTAAATTTATAAATTTTGTTTTAGATTGAAAGAGAACCAAAAGGCATACATAGTAAGATTAGAAGAATAGGATGGATGATTTATCACTTTGGTATATTTTTATTCAGGAAATTTGACTGTTAGCCTTGCTAAATGAGAAGATGCATTATTGTAGTGAAGCATGAGTCCCCCAATTTTCTTTTCTTAAAGGATTTCTTTGTGAAACTTACTGGTCTGCCAATTACTATGTCTTCTTTTGGTCAAAGTGGATGGTTTTGAACAGTCCTAGTTTTGAAGGAAACAAGCATACATTGCTTTTTTATCACTTGCTTTCTTTTCACTGTTGTTGGTTAGGGGTTCAAAGAACCATACTATACTTTCTCCAGGTGTTAAATATTAAAAAAAAAAAAGGTAAGTGCATTTCATCCTCAGTTCTGGTTTTAGAAATAATGTAAACATCATCATTAATAATTTTAGTATGTATTTCTATATATTCTTTATCTAGCTGAGAATTTCAACCTTTACAAAATTCTTTAAACCATTTGAACACATTGGCACGAGGTGGACAGAGTTCGTAGCGGTCCTTATAAGTCCTTATATTTGAAAATAAAATATAAAGGCCCTTATAGGTGCTTACTTTTTCTTTAAAGCCCTTATTTTTTTGTTTTTAGTGCTTATTTTTTTGCTTTCAGTGCTTTTTTTTTTTTAATGAAAGCGCAATTTTCTCCGTACCAAAGCCAAAACTAAATAAACAACTTTTCTTCCTAATATGGAATGTCAGATGGTGAATCATACTTCCGGAAATAGCTTTTCCCCCTTTTTCTGCATTAACATAACCTTTGGTCTGCACGGAGAGTACAGACAGGTGCCCTTCGTTCTGTTGGTCAAAGAATTGCGAAAGCATTTGAAAATTCCAGTATATTCGGCATTCTTTACCTCTCACCCAAATACTACACACGTTTGAATTTCTATCAAGATCTTAATAATTTGCATTCTCATTCCGCTTGGTCAGTTCATATTCGTGTTTATTATGATCGTTATGCTTATATTATGAGCATATGTATGGATGTTTATAATAACATAGTTGCAGTAACTGCTGAAGTATAGTAAACTTCCAAAAATGGTTGCGTTTTAACACAGATTAGCTTTCTAAGGAATAATATTCGGAATGGCTTAAATAAAGGGAAAGTAATTTAATAGTCAAAATAATTTCATTTCTTTGGCCAATACATTATACAGTACGAATGTTGGTAGGTTCTCCCCTTTTTCTGCAAAATCTCGAATATTGAAACTGTTATAGTTCGCTGCAAAACAAGCAATGGACTTTTTATTTATTTATTTATTTATTTATTACTTTCCGATCTGGATTGAATAGGACTAAAAGTTCTGCGGTCTACCAACCCAAGCGAAGAATGATTCTATTCCGGAAATTTAGCGCAGTCTGTTGAAAATCAGAATGAAAAACACCCCAGATTGGCTTACCGGCAGCTGTTGAATCCGATTGCGTAATATCATGTAGGGAAGAATTATGGCGCACGTATTGCGCAATAACGTTTGCGATATTTTGCAGAGATAATTAATTTTGATGTTCGGTCCCAGATTTGTTTATGAACACTTAAAAGAGTTTTCCTGTGCTTGCAGAGCAGAATATTTTTCTGTTATATTGAAATGTCAAAAGCATTTATTTAGCGGAAAAATCTAAAGAACGGCTACAGTCTATCGCCCTCCGCTCCTCTTTTTAAAGTTACGCTCCGCTGTCCGAATATTCGCCAATTTTCAAGTATGCGGGTATGTAAGCTTTTACTGTTAAAGGATGACTGCATGAAGCAAATTTCTGTCTTCTGATTTCAGAAATGTTCCTCTTTTTTATTTAAATTACTTTGCTTGCAATATCTGTTAAGGAAAAACTGATATACGATGAAAATTTAGAAAATGTTCAGAATTTAGATTTAAATTAGTTAAATATCAATAAGAGTGAAAAAATAAATTGTATTTATTATTAAGTTCCAAGCGAATAGAATAAATATGCCTTATTATTATTTATTTCCTCTATTTTGAACTGAAATTTCATCATTAAATCTTGTAATATAGTTTAGTTCTGCATAGTTTTTTTCTCTCATTGTAAACTAGTTCTGTAAATTGGACTGTTATTTAAAATTTAAAAAAAAAGTAATTATTTTCCATGGTTGAGGTAATGCTTATTCTCTCTTAATAAATACTGCATTTCTCATATTTTAAATTACGAGTCTAATTTTTAAGGTTATACAGTTCTGTATAATGCAATTAAACGGGTGCTTATTTTTTTTCTTAAAATGTGCTTGAAAAGTGCTTATAGGTGCTTATTTTTTAAACTAAAATGTGGCTATGAACCCTGGGTGGAGCCTCATTTATATGTCCTAACAGTAGATATTGAAGGCATTGTTCTTGATTTAGGCCCTCCTAAAAATCGCGGAAAATCATAGTTTGATAATGCTCTCGCATCAGCTTCATTTTATTCTTTCTTTCAAAAGCTGTTCTGTGATAGATTGCAATTATCGCCATAAATTATTGTCGTCAGACATAAGAGTTCAAATTTACGAATGAAATAATTGATTTTAGTGCATGTAGTCTGTCTCTGTCCAGAAAATTTCAGATACCAACATATCTATATTTTTTGTTATGTAATAAGCTATTGGAAGTCTTTATTCTAAAGTTTTTGAAGCATATAGTTTATTACATTTGTTAGCGCTTTGGTGTTCTATCAGCAAATGGTAAGAATTATATTTATTATGGGATTTGTTTCATGGTCCCCTGTGCACTGATCATTAGAGTAGCAATTGATGATGTTGGTCCTTTTGTGTTACAGTGGGTACCACTGCTAGAAGGAAACTGCCGTGTTGCTGATTTATCACCAAAATTGTTTACCATGTGAAAACCAGTTTTGTGTGATATGCTGCATAAGCAATATATAACTGTATCAAACAACAGTTTTGCACATTTTTAATTGCTTCTTATACCTTTAATGGGTGCGAGTTTTTTGTTCAAAAATAAATAAAACAATGTTTTTTGAGTTAATACTTTTGGTACATGCGTGTTAATGCATGTACCTTAATGGAAGCCAACAAATTTTTAGAATGTTCCAAACTCTCATGCTGTAATAGTTCATCAGGCAACCATGCACATAACAGTTCCTTAATGTCAGAAAGCAACATCACTATTTTCATATGCATTCTTTTTGTTGTAGTTTAAGTTCAAATGATAGGTATGAACAATAAAATCATATTTTTTTTTTTTTTTTTGTTTTGAAGTGCATTTTAAACTAAAGGCTGGTAAGTTTTGCCTGCAAAAGAAGAAACTATGGTAAAATATTTTCAGGAATATGATAGTTTGTCACAAAATTATAAAGGAAGCAAAAGCCATGATAATTTTACCAGAGCAATAGAAACCACCTTTTAAGTAGGTTCATTTATTTCAGGTATAAATGCCTAATTTGAATTTAATATATATGTATGTATGTAATATATATTTTTTTGAATTCTAAATCAATCATTTGCTTCTGTAAAAGGAGTCTTAACTGCACCATGGTAGTTGTGCTGTTACATTGTAAGGAGTTTAAGTTTTACTAATGTTTATTTTATTTTAAAACTTTACTATCTTTTCTTATTTTCCACTTCTGCCCAGAATTAAGTGTGTTAACTTGTTTATGCAAATTGTACTGACTAATGCCCAAGTATTTAAGTTGTGGCTTTTTGCCAAGAAAGAGAGAGGAAAAGTGAGCTGCCTTGCCACTGCATTCTGTACGAGTTTTCAATCAGCTGCCGTCCGCCTTTAAGGCCGGAGCTTTAGTCCTGTTTATGTTTAATATGTATTGTAATTTCAGCAATTTGCGTACTACATACATAATAATTTAAAAGGCCAGTCGTAGTGTTAGGCATTTGTGTAAACTAATTCAAAGTTAGCTCTTATTTAAAATTTTAGTAAGTAGTTTTTTATATTTTTACATTCAGACTAGTGGTTGGTCTTTGTATCCTGAAGTGCGGGAGCACTTGTAATATCAGGAACAATAAAGGGTAAAGTCAACTCTTCCTGCTTGTGTCATCCATTCCACACATACTTGAACATAGCTTGACTAAGCTCCCTGTTCCTATTCAGGACACATAATGTTTCCGAAGCAGATAAAAAAGACATACAAGCCCTGACAACTTGAGTGCCCAATGTTAATGTAAATGCTTTTTTTCTTCCTGCAGATTTTAACATTGCATCTCCAAATGTTTTAATCTTTGATGTATAGATGTGCTTCTTGATTATTTTCATAGTGTCAGTTATGGAGTAAATGCTTTTTCATTGAAAGAATATGTCTTGGTATGGCTTTCAATTGTAGTTGGCAAAATGTATGTGGCATCCATGCATTGGAAATAGAAATGATGATAATGGGAATTAAAAGAATCATGATAATGTGAATTATAGAATATGCAAAAAATAGTTATACAGTCAAGTTGTTAATTCGCACGCCCATAATCCGGAATGATCTATAATCCGGACCTCAAAGCTACAAACTTTCTGCGCATGCGTCGCTAAGACCTTTACGGCTGCGAATATGCGTGTGCGCAGGCCCAAAATATGATTACGCATGCGCATTTAATGTATAATGGACGGTATAAGCTAAGCTAAAATTATCTAATTGAGTTAATGTTGCAGATTGCGTTGTTCCTTAATCTTCGAATTGGATCTGGCTTATTATTTTTTGCAGACTGTTAGAGCAATTTTATAAAAGTAAGCTTGAACTTTCGATTATGTCAAATAGAATTTCCGATATATATTTACTAATATGTAAAGGATCTACAAAGCGAAAGTATGTTTTGAAGTCCATTAAACAAAAAGTGGAATTGCTGCAAAAAATGGATAAATGCATATCCTTTGTTTATCTAACCATTCCGAAATCTGTTTATCAATTTCACGCTGCTCTGCAGCGGGGGGACGCCGCGGCACGAAATGAATTGGAAGTTGATCTGTCAGCACTATCCTTATCTTCAGGGCAGATGTTTTTATTTTATTTGGCTTATAATTTTTTACTAAATGTAGTATTTCATCTCGATGTACTCCGTCTTTGATATGATTTAAATCAAATTCCTCGTCGTCATAATTCGCTTCCGATAGCGAAGAAAGTAAAGTAAGCAAATAAATATTAAGCTTTTTTTTTTTTGTAAATTTTGATTCCCTTTAGATCATAATTGTTGTTTATTTCATAAATTACAGTTTCATATTTTTAATTTTATAATTTCTGCATGCCATCTTACCAGATTTAAACTGATGATCTATAATTCGGAAAAATCGATAATCCGGAATCGCCGAAGTCCTGACGAGTCCGGATTAACGACTTTTGACTGTAGTTGAAGAACTTCACATTTTGCACCACTGAGATTGCTTTTGACCTAAAGTGATACCTAATGGGAAAAGCCAACCCAGTAGAAATTATTCACTGAGAAGATCCTTTTTACAATAAATGTAAAAGTAATGTAATAAAATATAAATAAAAGTAATGTCTTGTAAAAGTAATGTAAATATTTTTACATTACTTTTACAAGACAGTTAAAAATAACGTCTTCTTTCTTTGCATTTACATGCTACATTAAGCAAAATTTTGATAACATTTCGGTTTGATTTTAATAAATTGATTAATAGTTGGTTTAAATAAATAGTTGAAGAACTGTAAGAAATTTTGTTCCACTTTGTTTTTTTAACATTTCTGTGTGTTTTCTTTTGTCTCCCCCCCCCACACACACAAAATCACACAACACAACTTGTGCCTGGTAGTTTGTGCCAGCGTGAGCCAAAATTTTCGTGTTTCAACATTGGCAGGTCTAACATGGAGGAAATGGCCATGAGGTACAAAGTAACAGGCTATAGATAAGTTTCTTTAAGGGTTCATATTCCAGCTATATGAAGTAAAAATTATCTTTTGTTTTTTGATCATTTGTAGCAGCATGATTCTTTTAGACCAGAGATAGTGAACCTGGTCCCTGCTGCCCTTTTGTGGACGATTTAAGTTTTAATGGTGAGTGGTAAAGGATTTTGTCCATACGATGATGAAAGTCCGTTCTCCTGCGTGCAGCTCTCTCACTCCTGTTTCCATATATTTATAAGGCTCTGTGTTTCTCTTAGGTGTTGTTTTGTAACTATAGCTTGCATAATGGGATTATCACATCTTAACAGAGCGTGAGGATAGGAGAAATTTTCGCGAAAAACAGTTTTCTCCTTTTTCTACCATTCAAAGTTTCCTAGCTGAAACGGTTTCGCTGGAACTGATGTCCTGGCTGTGTCTTGTTCTTAATACAGTTCTACAATGTAGAATTTCATTAATTCATGTTTTGCAATCGATGGTTAGTGATCTGTTTAAAGTATTAGTTAAGTATTAGGGCAACTTTTTGGAGTATTTTTCTGTTATTAGAAGGTACAGGTAATAAAACTTTTTTTAATGTTAGTATTTTTGCATTTAAGAAATAATAACTGAACTTTCAGATACTAATTAGTTACTATGTAAAATTAATTTATTATTTAAAAATATGTTTTCTTTCTACAGATTTTTGTTATTTAAAAAATCCTTTTGTCATTAAAAAAGTTCTCCTGATTTCTTTAAAAAAATTCCTGATTTTTGAGTGTCGTAGGTTGGTAAGTATGTAAATATATGAAATATATATAAACAGATAAATTTAACTATAAATATTTTTACTGAGCCTCCTTTCAAAAATTTACTTTGCATTTAAGCTAAATTAAGTTACTGTGAAAGTGCTGGGCTGTAGGCATAAAAAGTTTGACTACCCTTGTTTCAGACTTGCCCTGTATTTTGTATAAATGTGAGTAGTGGAGTTAATATAATTTTTCAAAATAGATAGGCTGAGCAATATGTTCTATTAAATGTAGCAAAGAGCTTTCCTGTTGCATAGGGGGGATATTTGATTAAATTAAGGTATCCTTCGTAGTGGAATTTCTCTGAAAATGTTGCTCTATGTATACTTTTATAGAGAATGAGTTTGTAGTTAAAATGTTAAAATGTGTTGAGCTTCAGTGAATCTTAAGTTGAATCATAGTGAATATGATGGAAGTTGATACTTGTAGAAAGAAATTATTCATCTTTCAACTTATTGATTTATATTGAATGTGTATCTTCTAATGGTTAGTCACCAAAGGTTTTTTGAAAAATTGCCAAAATACAATAGCAACTGACATTACTTGTTATTAATAATGCATTTTTCTAGGCACCATCACTTGATTGGAAAGAAGTTGTACATGAACTTGATAATCCTGGATTCCATTTGAAGGATCGAAAGGGTTTCAAGCTCCTTTGGCAAGCATTAAATATGGGTCTTGGCCACGAGACTTTTCCTATGGATAGGATGTATAGACGATGGCGAAATGCTGAAGGACAAGTACGGTTTTATATTTTTTTTTAATTCATGTAATTTAAAAGAAGGGAAGAAAATATTAAAATCATCTAGCATTCTGTTTATAAAATATATTTATGAAATGGATAAAATGATAGAATGTTGGTAGTTGTGCCTTGAAATCATGCATGTTGTTTTACTTGATGGTTGTTTTTGATTTTTCTTTTATGCATAGCAAATAAAAACCAGTTTCTTGTACATAGACAGTTTAGAAAGATCAACCCTCAGAGCAACATAACTAGCTTGATCCAAACATGAGATTTTTTATTACTTGCTATATATTAGCCTATATATATATTTCTTTAATACTGTAAATGTCATAATGAATGTAAGTTAATGAAAATAGGCTAATGTTAAAGTAATTATACAAATATAGTTAATAAAGGGTGTTTAAATACAGTCTTCGTGACAGGTTTGAAAAATTTGTGTTGTTCAAAGTGTTAAATTCACATTCTCTTTTTTTGCTATATATCTTCTATGTGCTAGTCAGTTAGAACCAGAATGAAGGGGAACAAAGTTAGAACTTATGACCAAAAGTCAAGTATCTTTTTCCCCATTTTAAGCATGTTGTAGTGATTCATTCAGTGTTTCTTACATAGAGAAAAATTTCTTAATTTTTTCCCTGTGTGTGTTTCTTAAAACAGGATTTTCTCATAAGTAGAAGAATGGTTAATTGGCAAGGGTCTGCTGTTCTGTAGGTATAACTTTTAAGTGGTTGTAATTTGGTTTTAGGTAGGACTGGTCTGTGGATTATGTTAATATTACAGGAAGAGTAAAATACATTGCAGGCCACCGTAAATGCAACACCCTGAAGCGAAGCATGCAAACAACATGAAATTTACAACATGCATCAGCGGAGGTGAAATATGCAAATGATTAGAATTTCAGCGCAGATGCACATAACGCGTGCCTGTGGCGCCACTTCAAAGCGCTATTTAAGGCTTGGAGTTTTCGACGATTTCAAGTTCGGCAATTGTGTTTTTCTTGTGGTTTTTTTTGGGAGGAAAAAACAATCAATTACGACTCGTAGTAAACAGTGATCATCGTTTGATCTAGTATCCAAGTTTGACAGAGGAAGGATGGTGGCCTACCGAGAGCGTGGATTATTTTTCACAGAAATCGGTAGTCGTGTTGGACAAAACCAAACAACTGTAATGTGGAGTGACTGTTGGATGCAGAAGGGTACGATGGACCGACGTGTTCGATCGCATCCACCTCAGTGCACCACTTCACGTGATGACAGGAACATTGTGCTCGTGGCAGTGACGGATCGCACAGTCACATCACGAATCATAGCACAGCACATTCAGTCTGTAATGCATCATATAGTGTCTGTGCGTACCATTCGACGCTGTTTACAGCAGAGTGGTCTGTCCGTAAGACGTCCATTGCTTCGTCTACCCTTGACGCAGAGCCACAGACGTCTCCGCCGCCAATGGTGCCCTGAAAGAAGGTTGTGGATGGCAGAAGGGAATGAAATTGTCTTTACTGGCGAGTCATGCTTCTGTCTGCAACACAACGATGGTCGGATTCGTGTCTGGAGACAGCATGGAGAGAGGATGCTGAACAGCTGCGTTATGCACCGCCACATTGGTCCTGCACCGGGTATTATGGTATGAGGTGGTATTGGATATCGCTTCTCGCACTCCTTTAGTACGCATTGCCGGTACTTTTAAACAACCAGTGCTACATCTCCGAGGTGCTGAAGCCAGATCAGGTCTTGCGCACAGCCATATTTCAACAGGATAATGTGCGACCACACGTGGCACACATTGTCCAAGGGTTCTTCGTCAATCGCCAAATTGAATTGCTTCCCTTTCCGGCTTGCTCTCCGAATCTTTTCGCCGATAGAAAACATGTGGTCCATGGTTGCAGAAGGATTGACCCAGATTACATCCCAAGCTTCCACACCAGATCAAGTTTGGCAACGTGTGGAAGCTGCTTGGTCTGCTGTACCCCAAGAACACATCCAAAGTCTCTTTCAATCAATGCCAAGGTGTGTGGCAGCGGTGATCTCCAACAATGGGTGGCTACTCTGGCTACTGATTCTGGAAGGAACCGCACTTCACAGAAGTCTATAAATTTAATCATTTGATACTTGGTCAACATGTTATCTACTAAATAAATTTTGTTGCTATATCTCTTGTCTTTCTTGGTGTTGCAATTTGGGTGGCTAGCAGTGTAGTTCTGAAACCAGTTTATTATTAAAGTATGTTACTTAAGCTGTCTGATTTCTATTATGATTGCTGCAACTGTTATATACTTGTATAAGTCCAAGGAAGGATTAAAATATCCTTTCATTCAGTCAAAGAAATATTTAAAAGATGGCCCCTCGCGCTTAAGGAAAGCCTCTACTTGGGCTTCAATTTAAAATAGAAAATAAGAAACTAAACTAATTCTAACTATCTAAAATTTAGCTAAAGCTGTACAGAAATAACTAACCAAGTTGGCCTGTAATTAAACCTTACTTGCGAATACTAACAGGCAAGTAAGGCCAAACCTAGTAAGATAGGTTTAAAGCAATGATGTGGCCTGAAAGCAGAACTGATCTACTGAAAACTTTTGAGCTGTTATATAGAAGTGACATAACTTCCCATTAAATACTGGTTCCACCTGATTTACATAAAACATGATACTGAAAACTCATTATGGTAGGGAGTTGTAGGTGAGAAACAAAAGTTTGAAGCAAAGGGTTTCAAAATTAAAAATACTACTAGAAAATCAAAATAATACCTACACATGCATTGCAAAATCTCTGGAAAGGGAAGATTGATCACATTTACAGTAAATGTAGATTAAAAAATTTGAAAATATAGCCTCGGATTATTATCAAATATTGAAGTATTGCTGACTTTGCATGAAAAGGCAAGCATAACTAGAATTAACATAAAATTGTTATGAAAGGAGAAACTGCTGAATTTGCAGTGACGGAAATAAATTTAACTGCAAATTGCTGCCATTGTTTTCCTGACTGCTGAAGAAAAATCACTTGCACCAAATGAATGTAAAATGTACTAAAGAATTCATTGCCAAATTAAGGAAAAATGGTCCCCAAAAGTGGAAAGTTGATGATTTGTGAGTAGCAAATAAAAAAAAAATTAATATTCAGATTGAAGTTATGTAGAATTTTAAAAATATTAAGCTATTAGCTTTGAGTGATAAAGCCTTTTTTCTGACAACATATTAAAGATGTAAAAGTATTTTTCTTTTAATATTTTAGCTAATTATATTAGATTAATATATATTTTAGCTAATTATATTAGAACAAGGGAACTTCATCTCAGATATGAAATTAGATTTAGAAGATCATGCCAATTTTGTCTGACATAAAAGTTTAGTCTTATTTTAGCATTAATTTTAGGAAAATAGTCTTTTCAAGAAGTTTGGTGCAAGTCTGTCTTCTCTATGAAACAAAACTATTTTATTCTGGCCTGCAAAGGAGAATTTTTTCATACTTTGAGCAAAGAAGACCTAATAAGTAACTCTTTCAAAATATATGTAGACTTTTCTAAAATGAGTGTTATTACCCGTATGTGGATTTTACAAACTTAAAAATATGTTATTATTACAAGTTTTAGCACACTCTAAATTTATAAAAACTTTTAGGTAATTGAATGTCTTAAATTATAAGCTGGAATTTGAAGTAAAATTACTTGAGCTTAAAGTGGTTAAAAATGTGTTAAAAATAGTTTAAGATAATTATATCATTGAATTAATATTCAGACTGGTTGCTATATAATTCTTTTTATTAGAGAGTAATTTGGCAAAACATTTTTTTAAAAATACTTAAGTCATAAGAGGGTACCTGAATAATAAAAATTTAAGGCACTTATGTATGATATTTAACTAGTCTAAGAGATTATTAAAATATTTGAACTGGCTTAGGGTACCTTAAATTTTTTCAAACTTATCTCAGAAATACACTCAAATTCTTAAGGATACGTATTTGAAATATCTTTTGTAGTGTAATATTTTTAGAGTACATTGAATATGTCTGATAATTTAAGTGATGGATGTGCATTAATTTCATCTTATTGCTTTTCTTTTATAGTTTTCCTTTTTCCAACAAGTTTTAAATAGTTCCGATATAGTGTGTTTAGCCGACTATACTCACCGTCCTGTTTTAACAGATGCCTTAAAAGCTCCTCCAGAAGATGACAACCGAAGTATCTCAAATTGGTAAATTTGTTAGATAGCTATATATTTATAATATATCCTTTTTTGTGTATTCTAACATGATGAATAATTTGGATTTAAAATTATGTAATGTTAACTTTAAAGCAGTTATCTAATTAATTCAATAATAAAGATATTCTCTTTTGTGGCACTGAGTCCGAAATCCAGACATCCAGTATCCAAAATGATGAAATATTCAAACCTGTGGACTACCAGCCAAAAAATAAAAATAAAACTCTTCAAAATCTGTTAATAGGGAATATAATACTCAACAAAAAGAAGCAGGTGTTTTGTAAATGTTTTTCTCCCAACGAAGATTCTTGCATGCTACTTTCAAACATCTCCTTGCTAAGGACCATAGCCCATAACGATACAATTGACTGCCATATTGATGTTCAGCAGGATTATGCTTTTGGCCCTTAAATGCGTTTGGTGCTGGACTGGTGATATACATTTCAGGCCTCTTGTAATCTCATGTGGGTCTTAAATTCTTCTGCCTGGGACCTCTCTAAATTCTAAAAATTTTACTATGCCCTAAATTTTGTTGGTCAGCATATCTTTTAAATTAAAAAAAAATTTCGTTCTTAATTTTTGTTGCTTAAGTGCTCTTCTGAATTGTAATATTCTGCTCCTGAATTTTGTTGCCTGGTGTGGTCGCATGTTCCTCATCGGCCCTTTGGGGGGGGGAGAAGCATTCTTCTACCTGATATAAACAAGAAGTGAAATTGTATTGTCTAGTGTGTCATCTTACTGGATTTAAACTGGTGATCTAAAATCCAGAAATTTCTGAAGCCCTTTTGATTCCTGGATCTTGGACTTTGTACTGTGTTAAGTTTGTATACAGGAATGTTTACAAACTTATTAACATAAAACTTTTCATAATGACAGCTTTTACAACAAAAACTAAATAAATAAAAACTGCATGTGATAATTTCACTTAAATGTAGAGACAAATGTAATGTTAAATAACCTGACTAGTGTGGCAGTGTGTAATAATTAATATTGAATATACGAGGGCTATCCAGAAAGTAGATTACGTTTTGGAATAAAAAAATAAACAAAGTGTAGGAAACAAATTTTATTATATACAGATGAAAGCCACACTCAAATACTACTTTTCTACATAGTCACCATACAAATTAAGGCATTTATCGTAGCGATGTACGAGCTTGGAAATTCCTTCGTCGAAAAATTCGGCCGCCTGCGCCTTCAACCACTTCGTTACCTCTTCTTGCCTTCCATCTTGCACAAAACTTGTGGTAACCAAGCTTTTCGCTGATGATTTCGTGCAACAAACTTCGCGAAATTTGTGGAAAACTCAAAGAAAAGTTCCGTTATTGTGAAATTTCGATTTTCACGGACTTTAGCATCGACTTTTTCGAGAAGTTCGGCGGTCACTATGCTGGGTCTCCCACTTCGATCTTCGTCGTGAACATTGGTTCGGCCATTTTGAAATCTTATGACCCACTGACGCACTCCACCTTCAGTGATAATGTTGTCCCCATACACTTCACGAAGCTGCCGATAGATTTCTATCGGTTTACAGTTTTTTGCAGTCAGAAACCTTATTACTGAGCGCACCTCGCAGCTCGCGGGATTTTCAATTAACGCAGACATTTCAAACCGTCACAGTATCTGAACGGAGCACAGCACGAACCTCTCACTAGCACGGCTAGATGCAGACTGAGCTGCGCAACGCTCTGACCCCAAGATGGCCGCGCTAGCCCCGCCCCTAGCGGACACAGACGGAAACGTAATCTACTTCCTGGATGGCCCTCGTATTACTCTCTAAATCATTTAGCATAAATTATTTTCAATGATATTTTTGTTTAAGAAATACTTTACGTGTATTTTCATATTTGCCTTATTAGCACTGCTATCTCATTGCCAGTTATATGAGTTACTTATAAATTTTTTTATGGCACAGAAAGTTCTGAAACTAATACATATTTAGTGTCAATACCATGCGTAATACATCAGTTTTTTTTATCAGTTGTGTGTTTTAATGCATTCAAACTATGATTATATGTTAGTTAATTTCAATGTTTTATATTACAGGAAATCACTCGATTTAATTGAGACTTTGTTATACTTATCGGAGACACCCTATTTTAAAGATGAGCTTTTTAAATTCCCCATCTCACATTGTCCTGATCTTTTAATGTTGGGACTGATTCAGACATCTGTAAGTAAAAGAAAACATTGTCCTTTAAAAATTCTAACTGACTTTAATTGAGACCTAACGTAATCATGAAGAAAATTTTCTGATGAGCATGTTTGATGTTTTCAGATGAAATGCAAATGTGCACAGATTTTCATTGAATAAAGTTAAAAAAAAAGGTAAAATACTATAGGTCAACATGTTGAAACCATATTTAAGGAACTACATCAAGTTAACGTAGTGTGTTTTATCTTGTTTTTAACTTCATTTTACCACATGTGTTTATTAAATTTTTTACTTGTACTGAATAATTTGAGTTATTATTATTAGCTAGTATAAATACAGTGCTTAAAATTCAAAAAATTTAAATTCATACTTCTAGGAATTTTGGTTGTTAGTTCAGGAATGTTGTATCGTTTGAGAATTTTGGAGCTGTTGACTAATTATTAAAGAAGTGGGTGTTCAATCGTATTTTTAAGGAATAAATCCTATTTTCTTAGAAAATGGAAATAATATAAATGATACCTTGTTTAGTGAACACAGTTTATTCCGAAAGTTCACAATATACATTATGCTGCTCTCTGTAGTTTAAGAGATTTGTAACCTTTGCTCCACAAATTCCTTTGACAGTAAAAGACGACAAACCATCTTTTCAGAATAATATTTGTAAGTACTTGAATTGAAATTACAAGAGAATTTTTCTAAAATAAATAATTCTATGTACCTGTACTCTATAGTAGATTACTGGCTTAATTTGAGTTCTAAAACACATATTAATGTGAAGGCTGTTTATCTTGAATGAGAATGCTGATTGGTTTGGTGCATGACACGGCAGACATGTCAGTTTCGATTTTTTCTTTTCATTGTTGCGAGTTTTGAAAATATAGATTCAGAGAGGCGTATGTGATTGCAAATAAAATTTGTCTTCCGAAGTTCTCATTTCAAGACATATTTAAGCTTTTTGTAACAAATGCCAGAATGCATAAAGACCTTTTGAATTAATGATTGCAGTAAATCTACGCTTTGAGATTAAAAAGTTTTTCTTTGGGTCAACATCAGAGGCCTGTAACTGTAGTAAATCTTATGGCTTGAGATTGGAAGGCTTATTTTAACTCAGGTAACCTTTGGGATTCATAGAGACCTTCTGAATTAATAAATTAACTATCTAAAACTACAGTTAATCTTATGCGTGAATATCAAAAGGCTTGTTTTTATTCCGGTCAGTGTCTTTGATACTCTTTATCAAGTTTACTGACATTAGAACACCAAGTTAAAAAACTTATGTTGTAGTTAATGTAGAAATCATTTTTATGTTGCTAAGCCTTTTCCAAAATAGTAAAACATTTAAAAATGCCAAAATAGTAAAAAGAAGAAGAATATTAGAAATATCTGTTGGTGTTGGAGTACAAAGAATTTATTAATTATAAAACTATTTATTTATGTGTCCAAGGCCAGAGCTGCACATTTTGCCACCCTGCGCAATCTCTACCTATTGTAAATTTTGCTGCTCGAAAAATTTACCACTGGGTACAGCCACTCTGGCTCTGTAGTTAGCCCTGGCTATTTGGGTGCAGAACTTAAATTTATTTTCTATTAACATTGAAAGCCTCAGCTGTTCATGCCCTTTTTTCACATCTATTTTTAGTTCTAGCACTGTCAGAATTTCAAAAAGTTATATGAAATGCTAGCTTCTACTGCTACAAAATATTTCTGGAGATAGTGCATGATATTATTGTCATTGAATCCTGCCACTATGTCTTCTGTGTTTGAAGGCAGTGTTGCTGTTTAATGGCATAGTCTTCTTCCTGCTTAAATATAAAGTCCTTTATGGTGACTGTTGGCACAAAACTTGTGTTCTGTTTTTCACCTGCAGAAATTTCTCTTTAAGCTTCCTCTTGCTCCTTACAGAGCGTTATCAATTATAACAGTAATAAAATGTTAAGAAATATTTTCATTTGCCCACTCCCCTGTTCGTTACCTTGTTTTGTACCTAGGTATTAATTTTGGTCAATAGGGAAATTTGCCCAGGATTATTAATTTCTTTTTAGCATTTTGCGTTGAAAACTATAAATGGCGAATCACTTTTCAAATCGTTGGCCACGAAATATTAGAGCCCTGTATTATATTTAAAGAAATTAAATAATGAAGAACCTGCATGAATGTATGCAGGTTTCAGTCATTGTGATAAAACGATGGTAGTTGGAGCCATCAAAATTAGAATAACGTAATTTTCCATAGACTATAGCCATATGGAAGTCCTAATTTGAATTTGAAATTTGTTTTATTATCGATATCAAATTTTGTAACACTTAAATGAATGTTTGATTAACAAAATAAACGATTATGGTTTGAGTATCTAGAACATGATATTTAATAAAGGTAATACACAAAACGTTAAAAAAAAGGCCCCTTTGGACATAATTTAAAATCTGAGGCCTTTTAGATTTTTATTTACTTCTTACAATTTAATATTAATCGCTCATTATTTATTTATTTATTCACTTGTTCCTTAAATGGAAAGTTGAATATAATTTAGTTTGGTGTTTAGTGTGTCAATTTATGACAACATTCAGAGACAGTCTTGCATTCCTTGCTGTGATAAAATTTGTGGACTTGTTCTTATTAGATCAGATAAGCCACAACACAACAGATAGTTTGCAACATCATGGAAACTGAGTATACCATGTTCAAATTTTTCAACCATTTTTATTTCGTCATGTGGGATGCTGTGCGAAGTCATGCATTAATATACTAAAACATAGATACACAACACAGGGCTGTTAATTTGTTTGCTATAGAAAACATGCCTGAAAATAAAATTTAGATTTTTTTCTTGATCTAGGATTCACAGAAGATTTGAGGGGGTCCGCAAGACAAAACTTGTATATCAGGGCTCAGTTATATGAACTAAAGGTTCATGATAAAATATTATTAACAAAATAATTTAATAATAATAAAATATACTGACATCATAGTAAAGTCCAGAAATTTGTAATTAGAAAATACTTGAAGAAGGCATTATTTTATCACCAACTAATCATGAAAGTGTCAGTCAATCATAAGTAGTAGTTTCATTCTATCAATTAATTGGTATTGCTCTGATGAAAATTATTTTTTCCATTATTAAACATGTTTTGGTGAACTGTGTTTCTGGGAGTACCTACAAGCAGTTTTTTATTTATTTGTTATTTCTGTAAGTGAAAATGTTTGTTTTATCAATTAGAATGTTTGAAATTTGTAATTTACACTTTTCATATTATATCGGAATGGTTTAATTTTTATCTTTTAATAACGTACAAATAAATATTTCACTAAGGAATTGTTTTTAAGTGTTTAACTATTGGCTTATAGTATACTGCAAATATTTCATTTAGTAATATTACTTATAATAGGGTCCAGTTGCTGAAGGTAAAGAGTCGGACAGAGGCTTTATAGGCAAAAAAAAATTGGGGAACCGCTGATTTAGCCCCTGAATCCCTGTGAATACTTTTTGGCCTCTAAAATAATTTCATGGACATAATTTTTTATTTGTGTCAATACACAATTAGTACTGTTTACACACACAGTAATATAGTAGAGGTATTATAGGCAGTACAGCAATATTTTCTACATTTGCATGTGTTTAGTAATTAATGTGTTTGAACAAAATTATCAGCGGTTAGTAGTATTATGCTTTATATAAGAATTTTTATTTAAAAACACTTGTTATAAAATTTTATGTTTCAATTGTAATTAATTTTTTTTTAATTAGCGAACGATCAATCATATCCATAAAGAGCTGTTATCAACACTTATTCCAATTTTTCTTGGCAATCATCCTAATTCAGCTATGGTTTTTCATCTTGCATGGCATAGTCAGGTAAAACAAAGTTTCTTTTGCTTATTCTTTTATTTTGACTGTTAAAAGGATGTTTTATTGTTTTATTAGAATGTATGAAATTTCATGCTGGAAAATTGTTTTGCCGAAAGTTAAACTTTTACCTGTATGAAAGCCTTAATATTATTCTTCTCTATTTATCGGTTTTTTTCATTATTAGCCCAATGGGCTATTAAATTTGTTTTGGCATTTTGCATTGAAAACTTTAAATGTTGGTTCACTTTTCAAACTGTTGCTACCAAATATTACAGCCCTGCGTTATATTTAAAGAAATGAATCTGCATAAATATATGTATGCTTCTCGAAATATGATAAAACGACGGTACCTAAAGCCATCAAATTTGGAATAACGAACATTTCCACCTGAATATGGGCACCTGGAAGCCCAAATATGGAATTTGTTTTATCTATTTCGTATTCTGGAAAACTTTAATGAAATTTCACGATGATAATATCAACAACTTCGAAGCAAGCAATGGCAACACGGTACCGGGGGCGGGGACATTTTTATTTCCAGCTCATGAGATGGAAATTCTAAAGATGTGCTCATTTTAAAATTATTTTGCGATATTGCTATTGAACTGAATTTTATGGTTTAAGAGTGCGAAGAACATGCTATTTTATAAATCAAGGTAACCCACAAAACAGTAAGAAAAAAGCCCTTGTGGGCTTAATGTAAAATCTGAAAGTTTTCAGATGTTTTATTTTTTAAAATTATATTTGTATAGTTAATTATTGCAGGTATGGTTTAATATGATCACATTTGTTCATGTTTTTTTACATTAAATGAATATACTTCAAAATAGCAATAGAATTTAATTAATATAATTATAACTGGAAGCACATAAATAGGCATTTTTACAGTATTTTAAAAAAGAATATTTAAATAGGAAAATGCAAAAATTCATTTCTGAATGAATTAATAAAATTTCTGGAAACTATTTTATCGATCCTATATCCCTAATCTTTGCATTCAGAGGGCAGCGCTCATGACAAGAGAAACTGGCAATGTAAAATTTAAATTAGGTAAAAAAGCTTCTTTAGTTTGGCATATATGATTTCAAGGAATTTTGTTTTTACAAGGGAAAAAAAAATTCTGCAGACTATCTCCCACCCTCTTGAAAAAGAGTGAGCAATGTCTGTTCTCCCCCCCTTTTTTTTTTGTTGGAAAATCTGTATCAAATGGGTTTTTTTTTTTTTTTTTTTTTTTTTTTTTTTTTGTAGGGAGGCTAATTTTTAATTATTGACTGAAATTAAAACGAAGATATTTGGCAACTAAAATCCTTACTTAATGACATTTTTTTGTAATTAGCAATTTTTATAATGCATTTTAACTAGCAGTTTTTATAATGCATTTTAACCTCATTTGATGACTTTTATTTGACTGTTTCAGTTTAAAAATGTATTCTATAATACCTTGATCATATTAATGAAATTGTTGATAAATTAATGTCTATTTTGATTTTTAAATTATGCAGATCAATTAATAAATTGATTTATGAAAAAGTAATTTGCATATTAAAAAATTGTAAACCTGTGTAAGCTATAGAGCTCATTTGAGTTAACTGAATTTTTATTGAGATTATTGGTTCCCCACTTATGTGTGGTAAGGAAATAATCACGCTATGTGTAGTAATGAAACAATGTAGAAAAGTAAAACCCATCAAATTTTTAATAATTAACATACTGTAGAAACTCAAATATCCAAGGTAAATAAACCCATAGCTGTGTCGAATAGTGAAAAACTTGCTAAACAGAGTAAATTCTAAATCAGTTCATTTTTGTTTTTAACAAGTTTTGTTTTTAAATTGTTTATTTCAAATTCTAAAAATATTGTAGAATTAGCATCCTTAAGGAAAAAATGTTTAGTAAATATATTAGTTTTCTTTGAATCAATTGAATAATCCATATAAATTATATTTCTTCCCTAAACATGAAAAAACTGGAATAAATGAATCAAAATCATCTGTTATTTCATATTCCATATCCTCAAATAATTATACCACAAATATCGATACAAAATTAAATTTCTTGAAATTGGGTTTATCATGTTTAATATAAAGTATGTCAAAATTATGAAAATGCAAAAAAAGTAACTGATAATTTTTCGGTATTAAAATATAATTATTCCTAAATTATTTTATACTAATTATATTTTTAGATATTTCTTTTAATTATTTTATTCATTATAATTTATTCAACTATCATCTAAAGCAACAATCTTTTATTATTTTTGTCAAAATTAATATAAAATTGTGTAAAATTTAATAATATAAAAATACTACGATTAATTAGAAAAGAGAACACATGGGGTAATAATGACCCCAAAATAATAACCTTTAAATGTCATTATTTGACGAATAAAGAAACTAAGAGTTTAAAACCTGATTTAAAATAAAGGTCCTAACTTAGATGGCAGTTACTGAAAAAATTAATAAATAAAAGTTAATCATAGTGGTTTATTTTTGTGAATATGAGAATAACCTGTCACTCATAAGAAAGGTCAAAAGATCAATCATTGGTAAGAAAATCATGAGAGGACTTTCATTGTATTCCTAAATTTGCTACATTTCCCCGACAATTGTTTATAAATTCTATTGCTGGCTTGGTTAATGGAAAATTCAGTTGATAGAAATCCAGTTAATAGAGATTCTATTGTATCTTTTCTTAAGATATACACTATTATTAATGTATTCCATTATATTTTTCTTAAGATATGTACTATTATTAATGTTTAATAACATTCAAATTAATAAGTTGTTAGTGAAAGCAAAAAGCAAATTACTTTTAAAATGAAACAATTTTGTTTCAATTAAATGATCTAATAGTTGGATAAAGCATAGAACATTGATTCTGGTTGAGTGATACGAAGTGAAGGAAAAAAATCTTTTTTATATAAAAATATTTATAAAAGAGTCATCAAATTTATTAAAAATATCTAGTAGTTTCACTTCTAAAAATCATTTTGTTAGTTACTCTTTTCTCCCTCTAATTGAGAAATTGGAATACAGAAATAGATTGTAATTATTATTTCTTTTTAATATTTTGAAATATTTTGTTGCAGTTTCACTCAACAGCCATACGAAATATAATTATGCATGCGATGGCCGAATGGTATGTACGAGGCGAAGGAGACCAAACGCGACTTTCTAGGATTCTGGATGTTGCACAGGACTTAAAGGCCTTGTCTATGTTATTGAATTTGACTCCTTTTATGTTTGTAATAGATCTGGCATGCTTAGCATCACGAAGAGAGTACCTCAAGTTAGACAAGTGGCTCAGTGATAAAGTTAGAGAACACGGTGTAAGTTATTATTTGCTAAAAATTATTAACACAGTAATGCCCTTCGCTTTTCATGTAATATATTCCAAAGTTTGCCATTGGATACATAAGTCATGCTATGTTAGAATAATATAAACAGGGTTTTTTTTACAAATTTATTTATAAAAAAATGAAAAGGTTTACTAAATTTTCATATAGGAACATAGTAATATTGACAATATGTTATAAGAAATAACATTTATTGTCATAGCATTGTGGTCATAAATATTCTAAACAGCAGATAAGGCTGCTCAAAATTAAGCCCCCTCCCTTTTTTGGTGTAGTGTAGGATACACGTTGTTCTAAATAACTGAAATTAAGATTCAAAAGACTTTTTGATAAAAAAAAAAAAAAAAAATTGAGAGGTAAAGTGTTCACACATGTCTGCAATTGTTGCCATTCAGAGCACATCCTTTGATGACTAGAAGAGGACCTTTTGAGGCTCCATTATCCCCCCCCTCAGCTTTAAAAATACATTGTTCATGTGTTAAATAGATTTTATAAGGAATTCTGTATAAAAATTTTATAAAAAAAAAAGTAAAATTTCCATTTAACTCGCATAGAAACAAACTAATTTTTTTTTAACTCGTACCCCCTTAAATAGGATATTTTTGCATTGTAATAAGTATGGTTAAACCTTTATTTGATAAATTATGCATAATAAAATATCTGTGTTAAATAAAATGCATTGCACACTACATACATGCTATATTTCTGAATAAAATATCAAAAATATGCTATACGTTACAGTATATTGATGCCAGTGTAGTTTCCCATTCACTTTAAAAGTTGGTGGAAATCTTCCCAAACTTGCACAAAGCACGCTAACAAAATTTTCAAGAACAAATTATGCATTGCACACTACATATCATACATGCTATATTTCTGAATAAAATATTTAAAATATACTGTAGGTTACAGTATATTGGTGCCAGTAAGGTTTCCCATTCACTTTAAAAGTTGGTGGAATTACCCATGTTAAGTATTGCACAATGCAAATTATACATACTATATTTCTGAATAAAATATTTAAAATATATTGGTGCCAGTGTAGTTTCCCCATTCACTTTAAAAGTTGGAGGAAATCAAATGGTGCCAAAAACAAATGGTCCATATTTAATTAATGATAGATTGCCATTTATTTAATCATATAATCGACAGTTACAAATTACTCATACAGCATATAAAGGAATAAATAAATAAGAGTGTAAGCTTTTTGATTATCTAACAAATAAATTAAGTAAAATTTACGTAAAAACTTGCTAAAAATACTTTCAGCATTTATAATATCTGCAAAATAGTCATCTCTGAAAACTTATGGCCTTTATAAGTTTGCTTCTGTACAAAGCTGAATTATATTGCACTGTTCTTTATTGTGCCTTTTTCCCAAATCCCCTAGTGTTGCACATTTCAGTATTTTGATTGTTATGGGAGGTTTGAGGCTCCTGTGCTAAAAAACTGCGATTCTTTAGAAGGAGATCTCAAAATTAATCATTTTCTTAATTTCTATTCTCCAGTATTGCACATTCATGCTTTAGAAATAAGCAATGTGTTCAAAGTATCTTAATCAGAATTTTTTAAATCAGGCTCCACATATTTATTTTATTCATCATCGAGGAGGAAATGTAATTTCAGCTTCATGTTTTGTTTTTGATTTTGTTCATGTTTTTAAAAACTGTTTGCAAACAATACTATAATTTCAGAGTTGAAATTATGCATTTATTGTACTTCCAGATTTGTATTCACAATTTCCACTTTTTTCAATTCTAGGTAGTAGATTAAAACAGAAATAAAATAGAAATTTTTCCATCAGCAGATTTTATGTGAAACTATATCTGAATCATCTGAAATGTTTACTTTATTCCATAATGGAGAAGAAAAATCCTCAAAAGATGCAATTTTGTTCTTTTTTAAAAATTCATTTAAAATATGTTTATTCATACTTTCTCTTTTTTCCTCTCTGCTGACCTTCGAAGATGTCAGATTCTCAGATGATTATTTTGGACAACCAGAAAAAATGCATAGATAGCATCATTTATAATTTAAGGTGTCCTTTACAAACTTAAATAACAGTGTTTTTTGATAAATAATTGCACAGAATTAATTATATTATAAAAATGTTTCTCTCACATACAATGCTCTCTTGGAATTTTTTAATTCAGAAATCCTGTTAATGTATCTTTTGGAAACTTGAATTGAATATTTATACTAATATTCATTGGTTTCGTCGTAATTCGATTTGCAGCCCAGAACACAACATCGTGCAGGCGTGAAAGAAGACTTAACTCCTTTTTGCTCAACGTAGAAGTCGATAGTTATATATGTTAACAGATACTAAAAAACTAAGTAAACTTAACCCTGAGTGTGACCTTAAAAACCAAAACAGTATAACTACTTTACTTAAATTACTTAACTCAAATTTAGTAATAAAAAGTACACAGGGTAACATTAATGAATAAATAGCACACAAACTAAAATAGGAATTCTTCGCTTACTGTGTACACAATGCAGTGCAAAGGGTGAAAGTTCACATCCTTTTCATGATGTCAAATCACATGACTTTAAAGCTGACCAGACCATCTAAATTCCCGGAGGTCATGCCTATACAGAATCAGTTGGGTTACATCAGAAGAAAGTGCAAGTGCTGTGACGTCACCCTTATTCATAATTGCCGCTAAATTGTGCTGCTTGGCATCATTTTCATGGTTGATTGGATAGTATATAAGTGCCAAATATTGGAAAGAAGCTGCTAAGCTTGAGCTTCTTTACATCAGGCAGTTGATAAGTAAGATTTTAGCAATCATGTAAGGATACAATGTATGTATTTATTACTTTTTCCATGCGTTTTCTGTATATAATAGTGTATTTTTGCTGTGTTTTTAAAATGCATTTTCAGATTTAAATCTTCAATGCATTGAATGTGTTTACATTCTAGCTTATACATATACATACATACATACATATATATATATATATATATATATATATTGTAGGAAGCTTTTATTCAAGCATGTGTCACTTTCTTGAATCGGCGCTGTCCTCAAATTATGGGTGGTAATATAAAAGAAGAAAACCTGCCAAAAAGTGCATTGCCACCTGAAACTTTAGCAACAATATTGACATTATTACATAATCTTGTGGGGTAAGTGTATTTATGGTATAAAAACTTAATATTTGGATGTGAATGTGCACTTATGTATTTTGAATAAAAAATTAACAGTATTAGTCGATCATGGAAAAAGACTAGATAATTATGCTGATTTGTTTCTATGTATTTATAGGTCAATTTCCCAAGAACTTTCAGAAACGATATTGACAATGGTTGGGAATTGTGGTGTAGTTCTTAATAAAAATCGTCTTCCTCCACCTGGTGTTGTTAAAACTTCTCAAGGACTGCAATCAGTGTTGTCATCTGCTGTCATCAATACCCCAAATGCAAGTGTATGTCTTTTCTTTATTTTTAAAGATAAAAATGCTCTATACATTTATCTTGTTTTTATAATGATGTATTTTTATTTTTTTCATAACGATGTATTTTTATTTTTTTCATAACGATGTATTTTTATTTTTTCATTATTAAATGTTTATTAACAATAAATTGGCAAATTAGTTAAGTAATAATGTATTTTTCTTTTTTTAAAATTTTATTTCTCAGTTGGACCAGCTGACCAATTTAACTTCATCTGTGTCTGGTCTCACTTTGGGTGTTAAGACTATAAGCAGTGTAAATTCTGGATTTTCTCTACCATGTACATTAAGCTCTTTTTCTATTGCATCGTCTGGATCACCTGCGAAAATGTTATCTGTGGCTACGCCTTCAACACAGACTGTGTCTACTGTCAGTCAAATTACACAAAATCCGTTCTCATCTAGCTTACCTACAGGATCATCACAACTTCCCGGGCAGTTTGGCTCCCAGCTGGGTAGGTTTGCCAATTCATTTTTACTAGGTTTTAGAATTTGTTTTAGACACCAGTCTAAACTTAAAATGATGCCTACGAATAACTGATTAAATTGCCTAAGTTTTTTTTAAAGTGCAGAATGAAGGCAATACAGGTTGGTTTAATCATTTTTGTTTCACCTCATGTGCAGTATTAATATGAGCATTCCCCTCTGTGAATTATCCTTAAAGAACGATAGCTTTTGCATGCTTTTTTATAACTGATTAATTCAAGTAAACTGTACTTATGTGTTAATGCAACCACCTGGGTGCAGTCTCTCGATTTCTTACAGATGAAAAGGTAAGAGTAGCTTATCAGGTTCAAGTAGATGTTTTCACAGTATTTTAAAAAAGATGCCCAAACTATCAGTATTTATTTTCCAATGCCAAACATTAACAAGGAAAAGGAGAACTTACTGTAGCAAACTAAAATACAAATTTTAATTATTAAATAAAGATTATATAATACAGTCAAAAGTCTTTAATCTGGACTCGCCGAGACTTCGGCGATTCTGGATTATCGATTTTTCCGGATTATACATCATCAGTTTAAATCTCGTAAGATGGCATGCAGAAATTCTAAAATTAAAAATATGAAACCTTAATTTATGAAATAAAGAACAATTATAATCTAAAGTGTATCAAAAATTAAAAGCATAATATTTATTTGTTTACTTTATTAAACATTTCTTTCAATGTAAGTTGTTTTAAGTTGCTTCGTTTTATGTGATAATACTTTCTCTTTAATTGTATAAACAGACACAATTTCTTGTTCAGTTACAAAGTTCCGCTGTTCAAGTCCCGTTAATTGTTGTGTCGAGAATACCGACTGACTTGTCAATCGAAATTTTTTCGCTTTCACTAACCTCTCTGTCACATTCTTCATGTCTTTATCCATTTATTGCAGCAATTCCACTTTTTGTTTGATGGACATCGAAACATACTTTCGTTTTGTACGATCCTTTGGGAGCTCCAGCATTGGAAATTCTATTTGACATAATCGAAAGTTCAAGTTTACTTTTATAAAATTGCTCTTACAGTCTGCAAAAAATAATAAACCGGATCCAATTCGAAGATTAAAGAACAACGCAATCAACATTAACTGAAATAGATAATTAGATATTATACCGACCGTTATACATAAAATGCGCACGCCAAAACGTATTCTCTCTGCCTTGGCCAAACGCATATAACAGTGGTAAAAGGTCTTATGCGCACGTAAACATGTATGTGCTATGCGCATGCGGCGCAGCCAAAGTTTTTTAGCTTTAAGGTCCGGATTATAGATCATTCCGGATTATGGGTGTCCAAATTAACGACTTTTGACTGTACAATAAAAAACTGAGACATTTGTAGTCAAATTTCTCTTTAATTTTGGTGCTTATTCTTTTTTGCAAGAACATAGTGACCCGTTTTTGCATTAAAAAAATCGGGGAATTGCAAAGACTTCATCATGCAAATTTCAACAACACCTGCTATGTACCAAACACATCTCCTTGTTGTCTTTTTAGGCATCTTCGGGCAATTCTTGTAGAAATTTTCCTGCAGTTTCTTACATTGCTGTCAAATTCCACAAATGCATATTTTAAAATTAAGTTTTAAGGCAAAAATATCAGGTTTTGTTTTAATAGATTTAGGATCTTGGAATACTGCAAAAAGAAGGCATACAAAAATGATATTGATGATAATGGATATTTTTGAGTTGCCTGAAAAATGGCTATGCACCTCATTGTCAGAATTTGGCACATTCTGAAATTTTGCTGAATGTCTTTTAAGATGGTTGAAATAACATGCAAGTACCTAAAAAAACTAGTAATACTGAAAGTTAATCCTTTGCATTCCAAGAAATTTCTAATATGATCTTTCAGCAGCTCCCAATGATTTTACTCTAAGCTGCCAACTATTGCAGGAGTAATGGTATGTTCGAGCCTTTTTGTTTTAGCTGTTTTTTCCTCCTTTTGTAAGGTGAGGAATACATTGAAAAGGCACCGTTGGAAGAAGGTTGGTCGCCAGATTGATAATAGTAAGCATATGCCGAAATATCCCCCATGGCACAACTACGTACTTAATACCTTATATTGTGCTTATGCCACTGCAGGTATAACAGAGTTATTAACTTTCATTGTCGCCATAGAAGTGACAGTTGATATAAAATTATCTTTCAGTGTTGCCACAATAGTGACTGGAGACTGTAGAGGGTTAATTTTTTGCTCAAAAATTTATTAAGGCCATGAATAAATTCACCATTGTGTCTTGTTTTCAGTCTGTGTCCATTCGTAATAGAAACCATTGCCGCTTGTGGGGAGTATTTGTACAAACTTATAAGATTATACTTAATCTAAATACTGAGTTATCTTACTAGACTGCATGTCAAATTTTTGTTCAGCTGGTACTTCAAGTAAGGAGATCAACAAAACCTGAACTTCTTCTGTTAATGGAATGTGACCTGGTACTAAGAGCCTAACTAAGTCTAGAGCCTAACTATCTTAGTCTGGTTCACACATGTGCCTGACTAAGAGCCTGGTACATGTGTGAACATTCTTCCTAACTTACAGCAAAAAGAATCAAACTTGTCAACAGTTAATGCAGTACTGACCCTAAGATGCCAAAGCTTTTTTCTCTTTTCTAAGATTATAATTCATTCCTTGAATTCCCTTAATTTGTTTTCTGGTGAAGTAAACAGACCTCTAGTTTGCTGCAAAGTAATAATTGTTTTCTTATATTAAGTCTGCAGATGGGGAAATATGTAATCACACATGTGACAGGAACCGTATGTGGATGTAATGATATGTCCATTATTTTATGTTGCAGTATTAATTCATGTTTTGAAGTAATATGAAAAGTGGCTTACTTTATTTTTGCCAGATTTTATCAAGACTGGCTTGGCTCAGGTACACATATATGAATGACTCAGTTAGTCCATCTGAGATGGAGCAGATAATGAAATCTTTTGGACCTGGGCCCATTGGTGTAGCAGTCAGCATTACTAACCACTGTTCTGGCTGGGCATCCGATTAGTGGTGACGCTATCTCCACTCTGTATTAATCTCCATTTGTGATGTCACACAATTTATTTTGGCCAGTAATGTTCTGCTAACATGACTTCATCCGGCCAAATCCCAGTTTCCATGAAATGTGACAATAGATTTTGGGGTTCTCGTCGTCATTAATCCTTGGCATGTTTACTCTCTCTCTCTGTCCATAAAACTGAAGCTGCAGATTTCCAGCACACGTAGATCAGTTCAACCAAACTCAATTTGCAACAGCTCATTATTAAAGATGCGAACACAAACCAATAAAGGAAAAAAAAAAACAGGATTAGAAGGTCAGTTTTTTACTTCCTTGTACGAAGTAAAAAGGAAGTATTGTAATCTCGAAAAGTTTCAGGCAGCATATTTCAACGAAAATATCCATTTTGACCTCTGTCGAATGCAATTTAATGATGTTTTTGCGTGATATCTGTACGTAAGGACAGAATAAAATACTCTTTTCCTTTCACAAAAAAAAAAAAAAAAAAAAAAAAATATATATATATATATATATATATATATATATATATATATATATATATATATATATAACTGCTTTAAAATTAATTCTAAAGAGAATTTTTCGTGGCGTCTGTACGAGCGTATGTGCATACGTATCTCGCATAACTCAAAAACGAGTAGCCTCAGAACATTGAAATTTTGTATATTGGACTTTTTTATATAGATGTGCACCTCGTATTTTGGTTGCAGTCGGCCGCACCAAACGTATATAAATATATTTATATATATATCCACTCTATTACCCGGCTCAGTGATATCGGTTTCTTTACTCTTATATGTTTGTAAATTGTACCTTTTTTGCTTTAAAAATGATTGAATTATGTTGTTTTTATCTTCCGGTTAAAGATTTTATGCCTTTAGTAAATCTGTGTGCAATATTTTTAGAATTATCAGCAATTTTAAAGTTGTTTAATTGCTGCTAAGCCTGTTTTTAATGGCGGCCATTGATGTTTACATTTGAAACAGGAGACTAGTGGATTTGTTGCCAATCTAGAGAAACTTAGCTTCGCAACAACGAAGATAACGCATTCATTTATTATTGCCAATTAAATCATGCTTAATTCTTTCTGGAATTTTTTCGAGGAAATAAGCGTTTGAGATTTACTTCGTAATTTTTAATATAGATATTTTGAGTTTTTATGTATTTTTGCCTTCTCGCGAAGTGAGAACTGAATTAATTAAACGAGAAATACTCAATCGTCTGTGAAAAACTGTTTCTTTTTTTGTTTTATTTGCTTAATTTCTTTTATACATCATTCTAGCTTTATTATAGTATTTGAATAGAACATGTGGCAATGATTAGATAATTCTATTCTTTAAATGATATAAATTTTGAGTTGTAATATGAACAAAATTTAATACTGTTAAGTAAACTTAGCGCCAGAGTGTCGCTATGGTAAACAAAGTGAATTTTAAAGAATGCATTTATTCTATTGTGGTTTATGCACTGTCGGTGAAGTAGGTTTAATTCAATCTAATAAGTTTAAATAAAATGCATATAATTTAATATTCCGTACAAGGAAGTCATGTGATGTACACATCAGATTTTTTTTAAAGCTAATCCAATTTTTTTACTGATGTTCCCTATGGTGTAGTTCCTTCTGTCAGTGACTTTTTTAAGAGATGAAGGAGGAATGAAATCATGATTGACAAACCTTAATAGAAACCGCATTATTAATTTTTTATGAATTTTTAAAAAGTTTACTTTTGTTGCATCCTGTATATGAATTTGCCCTCCCTCTTATCTTTTTGGGGGATTGATTCTTAAATTAATACACTGATCAGCTGTTTAGCCTAGAATTGTGTGGTGGCATTAAATTGAAATAAGCGTACAAAGAATAATTTAAAAAAAATTTTTTTTGAATTGGTAAATGTTTTAGTTATTTAAAACTTAAACTGAAACCCTAAAACTGTAATTTGTAAATTTTCAGGCTATAAATTTTTTTGTTTGTTCGACTCCTGTTTTCTGTGGGCTTATTATTTGATTTTATTGCAAAATTTCAGAATGTAGAAAGGTAAACATTTTATAAGGTAATTAATTATAAAAGAATGCTTGTGATATAAAGTATGTCTCCTATCATTTTTAAGTAATATCTAATGTTTTGAGAGTGCAAACTTTTTGGCAAAAGTAAATTTAATTTTAGATAATAATGCATTCATTCTTGCATGGCATCACAGACATTTTATACAATATTTCTCCCCCCTTCTCATAGTTGGAGATATTGGAGCCATTTTTCCAGATGCTAGTCATCCTGTATCTAAGGAGATCGAAGATGAAGCGAATAGCTACTTTCAGAGGATATATAATCATGCACCCCATTCATCACTTGCTATTGAAGATGTTCTTGAAATGTTAAAGCGATTTCAGGATTCACCTATTAAAAGAGAAAGGGTCTGATTTTGTTGATATTATTCTTAGACTTGTTTTTGCCAATATTAATTGTAAAAAATTCAGTAAATACTTATACTTATTTAATAAACTCAATAAGTAATATTTGAAGAATAATAGAATAACCATTATTGACAGGATTGGGTTCATGCATTATTTTGATATATTTTCAAATCAGTCCGATTTTGCTATTAGGGTTTGATATTAGATTATATGCTGTACTAAAATCGTGCCAAGGTGTAATGAATATTGTCAGGTTCGATTCAGTTATGGACATAGATACACTGCCAAAAAAAAAAGGAGGGGGACAGTTCTATATCTCTCGCTCTACTGGGCTGATTGATGAAATTGAACTTGCATTTCTCATCTCTCAAAAGGGCAACTTAGGTAATGTGTTAGATTTATATATAGCATTGTTCTAATATAGGTATTTTGATGCAAAATCAGACTTTTTTCTGAAATAAAATACCAATTTTTTCCATATTTCCATTCTATGACTCAAATTATGCCAAACTACCAAGTTTTGTAAAAAAACGCACGAGTAGTTTTTAAAAAATTAGCTCTCAAAATTTCAGCTCCTCAATGTTAATTTAGTTTAGTATATATTTATTAATCTCTCCTTTTTTTTTTTTTAAACTTATTTGGTTCTTCCTTTCACATTTCAAACTTCAGGTTCATTCCAAATAAAATTCATCCATTTTCGATTTATTTTTAAAATTTGTATTTTAAAATAATTTTTATAATTGAAAAAAATTAAGTTATGAACTATAAAATTTTTACCATTTTCTTAAATCAGACGTATTTCTAAGTATATGTGCAAAAAATTAGTTTTCTATTCAAAATTTCAAAAGATATATGTGAATTTATATATTGGTGTGTTTTGAAATTTGGCATATTGGTTGAAAGCGATAAATTATCAAATGTGGTTTAGACACATTGCTACAATTATTTGAAAGTAGGAATGATATGACTTTTTTTCTGCTCATGCATAATGTAGAAAGGTAGGAACAAGGTGCCTTTTTTTCCGCTCTGCCATAATGGAAGGAAAAAGAAAAATTGGTTGCCATATATTAAGAAATTCGCCAAGTGAATTATTCTTGGCATAAAAAATTTCGACAAGATAATTTAATTTCTCCATAAATTTCGCACCATATTTTACAAAATTTAATAACTAGGCATAATTTGAGTCGTAGAATCGAAATACGGAAAAAATTTGGAATGTTATTTCTGAAAATAATCCGATTTTGTGTCAAATTACCTATGTTAGTACAATGCTATATATAAATTTAATACATATCCTAAGTCATGCTTTCGAAACATAAAAACCCAATTTGAATTTTGTCAATCGGCCCAGTAGAACAGGAGATATAGAACTGTCCCCCCCTTTTTTTGTGTGTGTGCAGTGTACATGCTCAAAACATTAAAAGATTCCACCAGAAGCTGAGCAATAAAATTGCTGAACACTTATTAATTTGTACTAATTCAGAAGTCAAACAACAAAAATCAGCGTTAATTTACAAAATTTTCACAGGACTAGTTTCGATGGTTTTACCGAACCATCATCTTCAGCTGCAAAACCGCAAATGAACAAGATAGGAAATAATGTTTAGATAAGATAAGAAAGCCAGGACAAGAATAAGCAAGTGGCGCCATCTGCTGGCGAAACCAGAACTAAAACATAATTTATCTAAAAGCCGAAGGCAAATTTGGATTGGAATTAGGATCGTTAACTAGAACAGAAAGATTTTTATGAATGTGAAATGCCTCTAGAAAATCCAGTTCTCCAATGGAAGAGTTTTTTGAATAATTTTGGCAGCAGAAAAAAAATTGAAAGTGTGATTTTCGGACCAACAATGTTGAGCAACAGAAGACTTCTGTGTTTCCTTTTTTCTAACATATGCCTCATGTTCTTTGACGCGAAATTTTAAGGCTCTCTTAGTTTGGCCAATGTAAATTAAACCGCACTGGCAAGGAATCCTATAAATACCCCAGGAATTCATATCCGGAATGGGGTCCTTGAGTATAGAAGTTGGAATTTTATTGATGGGAGACGTAACGTATTGATGGGACACGTAACACATCCAACTTCAGTACTACAGTTTACCGTAAACCTTCATTGGTTTGCCTTCCACCACACTTTAAATCATGTCATCCGACTAAACAAAAGTTAGCTTCATTTTATTCCTATGTTTTCCGTGCTCTTCAAGTTTGCTCCTCCAAACTAGCCCTTGATGAAGAACTAAATTATTTAAAAGCAATAGCTATTGACAGGGGCTTTTCACCCAACATTATTAATCAAGCAGTTAAAAAATTCTCATCTCAACACACTAAAAGCCACACTCTTATTTTAGGAGATTATAAAAATTCTGTTGTCATTCCCTTCTTTCCATCAATTAGCTATAAAGTTGCACATATTTTGCAGAAAGAATTTAACTTTCGGGTTGTTTACTCTCCCATCAATAAAATTCCAACTTCTATACTCAAGGACCCCATTCCGGATATGAATTCCTGGGGTATTTATAGGATTCCTTGCCAGTGCGGTTTAATTTACATTGGCCAAACTAAGAGAGCCTTAAAATTTCGCGTCAAAGAACATGAGGCATATGTTAGAAAAAAGGAAACACAGAAGTCTTCTGTTGCTCAACATTGTTGGTCCGAAAATCACACTTTCAATTTTTCTGCTGCCAAAATTATTCAAAAAACATCTTCCATTGGAGAACTGGATTTCTAGAGGCATTTCACATTCATAAAAATCTTTCTGTTCTAGTTAACGATCCTAATTCCAATCCAAATTTGCCTTCGGCTTTTAGATAAATTATGTTTTAGTTCTGGTTTTCGCCAACAGATGGCGCCACTTGCTTATTCTTGTCCAGGCTTTCTTATCTTATCTAAACATTATTTTCTATCTTGTTCATTTGCGGTTTTGCAGCTGAAGATGATGGTTCGGTAAAACCATCGAAACTAGTCCTGTGAAAATTTTGTAAATTAACGCTGATTTTTGTTGTTTGACTTCTGAATTAGTATTTATTCGGCATGTTATTGTGTCTTATTAATTTGGTTCGAATTTCTAATCTCCATTTCCATGGTTTCCCCTCCGAATGTGTATACAAGCCAGTTTCCCTTAGAAAGCAAAGGCATCCCTTAGGCAAATATCCCTGGAGTATTTTGTCATAATCAAGTGAATCAAACCAAATCATAATGTTAATGGCTGCTAAAGTCTTTCATTCAAAGGACCAAAAACCACCTGTCTGGAGAAGATTTGTGTGGCCATTTTTCTATCCTCCCCATAGCATATGCAATATCTTAGTGGGCAACTTCCTAAACACTTTAAAAATGCAAACAATTACCAGTTATCTGTTTCTAAAGTGGCCAAAAGGGTTGTGATAGGAAATTAAGATTAATTTAAGTCTGTAATTCAAATTTCATTTTGGTAACGCATCTCGGTCACATTTTTGGCTAGCACATTTCATAATCATAAATGACAGAAAATTTGTGTTAGATATAAAGAATCAGGAAGAACGAAATACTGAGAGATGTATTGAAAGTTCCTGTGAGTGTAATATATGCAAAATGTGTTTTTCATAATCTGCTTAGGCTTTGAATTTCCAGAAACTGACGTTTAAATTAAAGGTGCTCTTTTGAACCAGAAAAGTGCCTTTCTTTGTGGCACAAAAAGGGTTCTTCAAAGCCATAAAAAGGACACATCACTGTGCCTATATAGGTGTACACCCCCATCAGAAATGAAGAGAAATGTGGCAAAGTAAAATATGAAATTAGGCAAAGCAGCAGCCAAATACATGGTTGTTATTTTCTTTAATTTTATGTACACTTGTGTGCAAAGTTAAAAGAATTTGCAAATTAAGTCTATTTGTGAAAACTATGTAACCAAAGGTACTAGTTATGCCTCCAAATAATGATGCAAATAATTCAGTTGAATACATACGTATACATTGTATGTGTCATTGGAGGTGGAAGTGTTCAAGGGGTTTCCGGCAACTTTTGTGCTTATATACCTTCATGATATTCACTATGTTTCTTGCAAGAGTTGGGGGAATTTTAAAAGGTATTGGGTAAAATAAGTAGCCATGAACAATACATGGATAACAGAATCAAAGTAATGCCCAGTGTCATCTACAGTTATGAAAACAGTTTCAGAACACAGGATCCATATCTGAAATACCTGAACGAGGTCACGCAAGATCCACAGTGATGAATCAGGATCATGCACGTTCAGCATGACGGTACAAGATTGCTTTTTAACTGCCTCCTTTTCAGTGAAGTTTTCATGCCACCAGATTTTAAACACACATAGTCCTTCACCTAAACATGTGCACCTAGAAGGCCAAATTTTGAAAGTTTTAAAATTATTTATTTTTTATTTTGTACAAATTTAAGGACCTTACAACAATAGACGGTGTCATTGTCCATTACCCATATCAGATGTTTCCTTCCCTCTCCATCGATTAATGCAGAAAGAAGTGTGAAGATTTCAAATGACATCCTTTCTACTTTCTAACAAAAAAGTTTCCATTAGCCTTTTAGGACATGCTGTCTGCAATAAACTGATACGATGCATTTTGGAAAACTGCACTTGCTATTGCATACCTTAGAGGGAGGAAAAAAAACATTGCAGTTGCAGCTGTTTCATGTGGTTGTGGTCATTAGGCTGCTCGGGCATTTGAGTCTTCAAAGGTTTAATTTAAAACTCAACGATTTATAGGCAATATGTTACCATTTGCTAAAACATAAATATATTTGTCTTTCAAATTTAGTCCGAAAACTCAGCACTTTAAAGAAATGTTGCCTCTACCCAAATTAAAATATTTATACCTACCTCACTGCAGTATTCAGTTGCTCAGCAAAAAATATTTTTCTTTCAAATGTATTTATTAATTACTGCCTTAACCCATGAAATTACAAGCTGGATTTATTAAAATCATTATATATATCTATTTTGTTCCTGTAGTTACTATTTTATGCAGCTTGTTAAACGAACAAATTGGTTTCTGCTCATGGTGACCATTATAAAGAAATTGTATTCCAAACTTCGTAGCCGTGGCCCTTTCTGTATACTTCTGTGGAACTTAACTTAGATAGTTTAAACAAACTCTTTCTTCTTCCATACTCTATTTTCATTACAGTAAAATAAATTTTGAATAATATGTTATAGTATGCTGTGTTTTTCATTATATTTCAGTTTTTTAGAGAAGGCCACTTAATATAATTCTAATTATCACATTTCTTTCAGGAAGTATTTAGCTGCATGATAAGAAACTTATTTGAAGAATACAGATTTTTTCCCCAATATCCTGATAAAGAGCTGATAACAACTGCTCAACTATTTGGTGGAATTATTGATCAAAACTTGGTTAGGTAATGAATTTATGATTTTGCTTATAATATGTTAAAAATTAAAAAAAAAAAAAATTGAATAATCCAGTCCAGTAACCAGAAATAATCTGTGCTTCCTGTATTTTTTTCCAAGACAATATTTAAAAAATTTTACTGAATTAAATTTGAAGTTATTAGATCATAGCAAACCACACCAAGGTTATCTGTGCTATCTGTCTAAACAGAGAAATGCCATCTTGGAGGACTCTAAGGAAATTGGCCCATATTAATGTTACCTCTGAAGAAAAGCACGAAAATGCCCATGCAGTCAGTCCATTGGCCGTGGTTGATCATGGATTGAATTACTAGTGTTCAGTTTCTGTACCCACTTGGCCGCTGGTAGGCCTGCAGTGTTTTTAATAAAATTACTATTATTAAAATGCATTGTAAACTGCCAGTACTGTATTTATATTTGAACTGAAGAGGTTTCCCACTTGGCCACTGATAGGCCTGCAGTGTTTTTAATAAAATTGCTATTAGAATGCATTGCAAACTGCCATTATAGTATTTATATTTATAAACTAAAGAAGTTTCAGTTGGCCACTTGGCAGGCCTGCAGTGTTTTTTTTTTTTTTTTTTTAAATATAATTACTATTATTAGAAGGCATTGTAAATAGCTATTAAGGTGTTTATATATAAACTGAAGAGGTGTCATATATTATTCAAAATATATATTGAAGAATTAAAAAGCATACATAGTAGAATGAAGTTGAAAAAATTTTCTGTGTTGACATGCTAATAGCACATATTAAAGCATATGTAAAAATAAGAACCTCTGTCAGCTGCTTTCAGCTGCAGCTGACAAAGCAGAGTGGGTCGTCTATAAAAGCTTCTTCTCCTCCCCTTTTTTACAGTTATGTTTAAATGTGATTTTGGTGTGTCAACTTTAGACATTTTTTTTTTGCCTTCATTCTAATTTTGTGTGGTTTTTAATTCTTCTATTTGATGGATGAGTGTTAATATTTCATTACTAAAAGTTATGGTTAAGCATCTCAGATTTTCATACTTCAAAGTTACCTTCCAGATTTTTATATTTCAAGGTTGGCATCTATGACACTGTTTTACGAAAGTCGTGTGTAAAATTACAAGTGGCATATTGTAATTTTGTGTAATTGTGTTAATGGTAATTTAAAGAACCATATGGTTGTCATTGTATTCTTTTTACTCTTGAGTATCTTGTGAAAAATCTGATACTATGACAATGACTATCTGATAACATTTTAAATGTGAAACAATACTGAAGTTCTTTTAATTGTTGAGAGAAGATTTCATGCTCGGCAAATGAAAAGCACCTAATAGGATGCATTAACTTTGATAAGTGATCATATGTATCTGCTAAATGATCAAGGCAATGACATCTAAGCCGAAGTATTTGTGCAAGGAACAATATTCCACAGTGGTACTATCAGAGTCTGTGATGAATGTATTGAAGACGAGCCTGCAAGGATGATGCAAAAAAAGTTGGCGTTTTTTGGTTTATGGTACTAGAAGATAGAACTGTCTTTACACATATTATAACAACATCTTTAGTGCATATACATGCATTGGATCCTAGATGAATGGAAGAAAACTTGGTTTGAGTCACATTTCCAGACTGTCAGGTTTGGATGTAGTACCAGTCCCATGATATGATGGATCCAGCTTCTCAACAAGGCATTGTACAAACTTGTGGTATATGTTTAACTGGCATAGATAGCATCATCTAGTCAGAATGGAACTGGATGTTTGCCAAGACAGAGAAAGAGTAAATGGGGACCCTGCTGTTGATGGCAACTTTGATTCAGATGTGAAAATAACTTTGTGTTAGATGAGACTAAGTAGAATTGAGAATGTTAAGTTGTGGGATGATAGATATAGGTTTGTATAGAAATATGTACATAGCTATATGTAAACCTTATGTTAATTTAAATATCATTAAAAAGTAGAAAAATAGAATCTTATCATTAATGAAGTGTATTAATTTATTTAAGACCAAGAACAGACGCGCAAAAGAAGAGTCTAGAAACGGGGCAACTGATAGACAGGTAAGCAATTTTGATTATATTCTTTGGGTTTTAACTTTTGAGGATTGACTTTTGAGCAGAAGAGCTTACCTGATAATTGAACTCCACTCTAGACATAAAATGGTCCGTCGAGCTGGAGGCTTTATAAAGCAAATAAGTTTTGGTTCCAAATTTGAATAACTATGAATTATATTATTGAATTGTTCTAACATTTGTGCTGAATTATTTTATATGATACTAACAAAGTTTAGAAATTAGAAGTATTGAATTAGATTGTTAGTTGTTATTTTGGATGAAACGATTAAGAATGCTTTTAAATAAAGCAAAACAAAAATGCTAAATAATAAAAAGTTTAACTGCACAAGAATTAATATTTAGGTTATGATAAGAAATTAGATATAAAAGAATGAGATACACATAGAAGAAAAATGCAAAGTTATTTAAGTCAGATTTGGACCGAGGATTTAATTGCTGAATTACAGGATCTTGAAGATGAAAGTAATCAAGAATACAGGAGTACATTACTTGCAAGGAAATAAATGTTAGGAATACATCCAAGATTTGGGGGGGGGAGCGACTTTATCATTGAAAAGTAATTCTCTTATTTATTTCAAATTGTGAACCAGAAAAGCCCAAAATAAATTTACCAAAACTGTATGTAGAATCTTTTAATAAAGCTGTTCATAGCAATAAACATTCATGTAAAGCAGATAAATGTATAAATATTTAACAGCTATTTGTATTAAAGTATAATTGTGACCTAACAGTCCAATTGCTTGGAGAAATTATTGTAAGATTTCATATTAACTTTGCTGAATGCTGTAAAATTGTTTCCCATTTGAAACAATAGTGGGAATATACAATAGAAATCCAAGTACATAGTTTGAAACACTTAGTGTTGAACTAAATTAATTCATTTGAAAGTTTGATTTTCATCCTACTCAATAAACATACTCTCAATTCTATTGTATTAGAGTTTTACAGACAGTAGTAAATATATAATTTTTGAAATATAGCAAGATTTGTAAATTTTCCTAGGGGGGAAAAATAAACATACTAGAAAGAACATTTTTGTTTTGATAAGCAGGTTGCATAAATTCTTAATTCACAATTTAATTAAATGCCTCAAACATATATGTTCTAGTTGAAACAGGAAATAAATTTCAAACATTTAAGAAGACCAAGATTCAATTACAGTATATGAAATATGCATTTTTTTGCAAAATTAATTATCAGGACAATTTTCATGTGATAATAAACTTGGGAAGAGTGTAAAATAAAATGGCAAATCCATTCTTTTTTGCGCCAGGGGAAAAAAAAAAAAGTATCGTTCAGTTAAGTAAATGTAAAGACCAAAATAGAAATTTCAACCAGATATAATTTTCTTACATGTGACACCAGATACTCTCCACACCAAACTGATTCATTTAGAATTGAAACATGATAAGCAGCCTTCAGATATTATTATGAATTTGATTCCTGAAGTTTACCAAAAAGCATGTTATACAATTTGAGGAAATATAAAAAATATTGGTAAACATTTTACAGAATATTCACATTGCTCAATATGGCTCTCAGAACTGCTTTGTGGGAAGGAATATATCTGAAAGAATGCATTTGCCAATCATATATAACAGAACACTTTATGCATTCAGTAGAAAAAGCTTAAAGCATTTAAAAATTGAATAGCCCATTCGACACTGCAATTAAGATTAACATAGAATCTTTAGAAGCTGAAATTAAAAATAGCACTGTGCCTTGTAAAAGAATTGTGAATTTATGTAAAAGGATACAATTATCAGACATACATTTTAGAAATAAAAGGGAGAATTGTTACAAGAAGTATTTGTCAAAGTTTCTGAATCATTAATAGCATCAGTAACTGAATTAGGGTGGTCTACCAGCAGAACAGAAAATGCTTGTGGTGCATCAGACACAGTATTTTACAAAATGTGATACAAATTAAAAATAAGTTAGAAATTGAACTCAACATCTGAAGTAATGAGAAATTTATAGCAATTAGAATGTTTGGGAATTTAAAATAAATATCATTACACTAGCAGTTTAAAAGAACTAACTAACTATTAAAAAATATTGAGAATTTGTAAAATTAAAGGCAACAGATATGCAGTTTGCTTCCCATAAAATTAACATTCAGTTGTATTGCATAATAATTTTATGAATTTATTTATTTCTGACACTCGTTAAAATTTAGGGAAAACACAATCTTTTTTAGTATTTTAAAGCCATAATAGATCAACAGTAACAAAATTGTATTCTGGAAAAATTAGTATTTAAAGGTAAAGAATACTTTCTCCTGCACAGGCAACAATTAGGCACAACAAAACTGTGTCATTTTTAATGTATCATAACTGCTTGGAATTTGGATGCAACCATTATCCAGACATCCTGCAACTTTTGATTAATTTTGAACAAGAAAATTAGAATTGCAAGTGATATTCAACAGGCTTTTCTTCAAATTTCCTTAGAGCCTAGTGAGGCAAATGAAGTAGAATTCTTAGAAGGATAGCAGCTTTGATGTGCATGATGTAGATTATCTTCGCTACAAAACCAAGTGCATATTTATTGGGAGCAATTATAAAAATTGTTATGAAGAATTATGAGTCTGAATACCCCAGAGAAGTTTTCATTTTAGGTCATTGCCTACATATATAATACCTAATATCATATTTTCCCCAAAATAAGACTAGGTCTTATGTAAGATATATTAGGGCTTATTTTCAAGCTTATTTATGCACAGTAATTAATGTTTGTTCATATATTTATGTAAAAGAATTCTCATTTATTTATATATAAAAATTTTAATATACACAAGCAGGGCGGTTTTGAATTCCAAACCTGAAAATTCAGCCTGTAGCAAATAAACTTACTTCCTTCATTTTGTGGTTGAGCTTACTGGAAAGAATTGTCCCTCTTCTGAAATTTTAAACTTGGATTGTGCCGCCGGTTGATGGTGAACAAAAATGGATTATGTCAGACTTTCGAGACCACCGTGGTGTAAGAATATATAATACACCTCGAAGTTGTAATCTGTTTGTAACTTTGTTATGTTATGTTTCAAAAGTAAATACTCAAATGTCAAGTCATTATTAAGAAAGGATAAGTACATTTATCATCGTAGTTTGTTTTTGCATTCCTCACCGATTGCTGACCGATCTGACTCCACAATGCAACATATAAATTGTTTTGATATATGATTATTGTATTAAGAAGAATCAATCTTGGCTTTAATTTTATTGTTTAATCTTAACCACTTTGTTTTGTTACTTACAGTTTAAATTAATCTCTCTAAAGCTATTTATTATGAAAAAGAACATATTATTCTGTTGAAGAAAATTTAAGTGAAATTTCCATTGTTGTAATTACTTTGACAGCATTACCTTTTCCTCTTCCACCAAAGATTCTTTTTTAATGGAAGGAGTCAAATTCTTTTCCTTGGTCTTTCCTACATTTTCATGTGCATAGAATTTATGTATCATCATCTATCTGTTTATAACTGTTTTATGTTATGTTTCAAATGTAAATGTAAACTTGCATGTTGAATCTTTGTTATGGAAGGAAATTCATGTTCATATTACAAAATTGAAAAATCCCTCCACTGAGTTCAACCTCAAGATGAGAGGAGAAAGTTATACAGTTTTTTAAAATTTTTTACCCCCCCCCCAACTCTCTTCAATGTTATCTGTAGAAGAAACTAGCAATAGGTTTTTGGGGCATTATCTTCTAATAAAATGCTGAAGAGGTAATAATTTGAGTCAAGACAAGGTCTTAAGGCTGTGGCATGTATACCTAATAGAGTGTATGGATCACTTTAGGTTTTATAAGCCTGAATTATTTGTTTTTTGTAGATCTAATTTTTCGTATCTAGCAATAGAGCTATCCTTAAATGAGCATTTCTTACCCATATAGCCTGCTTGTTGAGGATTTTTGACTTAGCTGTCAGTGATTATATCCCATTAGTTCTTCAATTAAGTCATAATCTCTTGCAGGTTAGACTTTATGGAGTTTCCATGCTGATTTTTCGCTGTTCTATTTTTTGTTTAGTCATTGATTTCTATACTGAAACAGTTCTTGAATGGATCATTCATTGTATTATCAAAAGCCTGAAGCTAGGCAATTATCAATGTGAGAACTGTTGTTTGGTCTATTCTTCTTTCATGTTTTTAGTATAATAAATACTGGCAGAACCTCAAACTACCCAACCTTTTTCTCACCATTGCAAAATAAATAGCAGCAATAAATTGTGCTGCTTGTGTATATCAATCTTTTTATTTCAGGAAATAAATGTCTGAAACACATTCAGACTCATCTTTCTTGCCATTGGTGAGAGTTAGAGGTGAGGCTTTCTTTTCAGCCAGACAAATTATCAAAATGCAGGGGACACATGCACTTTTGTTACTATGAAGGAAATGGGGATTGACAAACTAATCCTTTAAACAGTTATTTGAGATCTTGACCTGTCAACCTGTGCACTTGCGTAGAATCATGTTGAAATGTTTGTATTCAGAAAAGTTAATGCCATCAGCAATATGCTTGAATGCAAATGTTTGTTTATATAAGTATATTTTAGCTTGAATAGCATTGTCAATTTCATTTTGCTAAAGAAGCCATTCATTTAGTTTTGTGATCCTTTGAACTCTAAATGTTGTAATATGTTTTTGATAGTACATATTAGCAAAAGAAGTTGGTAGGTGAAAAATATTTACATATATACAAAGTGTAGGCGTTCTGCCTTTATGTTCATCAGGTGCTAAGACCTGTTCTTTTGGCTCTGACTCCTCGTTGCCTGTAATAGCTGTTAAGAAGGTTGTGGATGTTGGAGGCATCCTGAAACTGGGGATGGGGAGCTCCGACAGAAGAGGTGAGAGGACATGCAGTCAAGCATGTCTACACAGGAGGCCTGTGCACGACATTTTGGCAAAATGTCTAATACTATTACAAGCGCAAATGCTTGGCTATTGGCTTCGTAAACAACTGAAATCTTTTCTCTTTGGTCTGTC